GTCGATTCTTTTATAACGAACCGGTTGAATCCAAGATGTTTCGTTCCCGAGTCGGAGACGTTATGTTTAGAACATTTTAGTCTCCCCGGTATACACGATAAAAAGCTGTAGAGGTCATAATAATTGGTACATCTAAATTCAGAAATAATCGGTTTAGAATGTGATCAAATTACACTCGATTAAAAATTAAAGTTGAGTTACATATTCTGTGGTTTGATATCATTCGAAGAAAAAACGGGAGTCTAAATTATATGAAATTGAAAAATAATTACCTATAAAATTAGGTACTTTATAATACATAGTATTATATTATACTTTTAAGCTTAACTATAAAATCAAACTAAATATTGAATAGAACTAACAAAAGTATTCAATAATTGTATAAATTATTTAAATTTTAGATTCTAAATGGAGCGAATAAGCTTATGGTTTTACAAAGGTGTTTATTTTATTTTATTTTTTTTCTGTAGACAACTTTTCTACCAAACAACTGGCTCCGAAAGATCATATTTCGATTTTCTCAAAAGTTTTTTTTACAATAATATACATTGCGTGCAGATATACTATTATTATTATAAACGCATAAGTCACAACAACCCATGCGTTTATAAGCACGTTTGTGATGTTTGCGAAAACTTCAAAATCGCGGCGATGACGTAGCGTCAAAGCGCATACTCGCGTCATTATGTTACCTATACGAAAATATTTGGAAATATATCTATAATATTTATGTAGTTATTTAAAAGAATCGTAATATAATATAAAATAGTCTGCGGTCCTAGATGCACGCATATTATATTATGTATACATATAAACGGTTTTAATTTATTATAATTTCCGAATCGTTTTTTTTCCCCGTCAGACTGCAGCAAAAATAACTAAGATGCCTGCCGCGTAAGAAAATAATGAATATATCATATTATGTATACATAATAATATACAATGCACTTACTGTAAGTACCACCAGTAATTTTGTTCTTTTTCATGATCCATCGCATAACGCTTCGTGATGTCGAATATTATATCAAGTACCTAATATGTACGTCCTATAGTACATTTATTATGTAAATACATATTTTTACAACGTATTTACCTATTATCCATAATATTTTATACGAATCAACCCTCGTGTGTTCTATGTACGCTTGTATATTATAATCGGTGTTGAGACGTGAATAAGTAAAATCGATCTAGACAAACATAGATGATAATCTTACCAAAATCGTCTGAATACAAGTAAAGATAACAACTATTATCTCCGAAAAGATGATAGATAATTTATATATATTATATTTATAATAGATGATTCACTTTGGTCGTTATTCATAATACCCAGACATTATGAATAATACCGAATTACCAATATTGCCGGTAACATATCCAGTGCGTATAGATACTAGCAAATCGATATCTTTAATTATTACTCATTAGCATAGTATCGGCATTAAATAATATGCATAAACTATGTAAATACACGTTTTAAATGCTTAAACGCGAATTTAAAAACAAGTATTTTATTTGTTTGTCCATAAAACAGTGACATTAATAATGTATCCATAACGTTTGAATGAATATACATACTTACTTATTACTCAATTCAAAATTCCTTCATAGTTCCTTCGACGTTAATATAAAAAAAAAATAAAAAAAATCTACAATAAACAATAATAATGTCCAATCATATTCTCCATTCAATAATTTGTTTTTATTAACAGCGTTCAAGTAGAATACTTAATTATACATACCTATAATAATTCAATCGGTCAAGATTCCAGTTATTCCGGTGCAATCGTCATATTATAACGCATCAATTAAATACCCAGAATACAATTTATTAACGTTTTTTTTCCCCATAAAATATATAGTTGCTGTTTTTTTTTTTAAAAAAGACACATGTTCAATAACTCGTTTTTAATCAATATGTCTAAAATAGCAATCATATTAAACGACCACTGTGCAGTACTGGTTCTCGGACGTAAAACTTTGTCACTATATAAAATCGTTTTTTACAAGAACCAATAAGCCACCTCTCTTATCATATTATTATGTTATTTTATTAGTCATTATAAATCGAATAAAAACATAGAGTTTAGAGTTAAATTTAAATTTTCTTTTTGCCAATTAAGTATATAATAACAATAAACCGTGATTTTCGAATTATATACAAGTTAAAATATAGACAAATTTAAAAATGTATGTATAACTTTTAATCTTTAACATAATTATATTCAAATATTTATAATAGAATGTCCAAAACATTTTTTATATAATAATAAGTTAATGTACATAGTTTTTTTTTTTGTTAAGTTAAACGATTGAATTGCTGAAAATGATACTGAATACGATCTATGATACGTATATTATAATAAATAGATCTCAAATCAAATTTCCTACGTGCCTTCCAAAATACTGCGAATTTGAATCAAAACGATAATACCCATATATTCGTAAATTCAATAATTTGAAAATATCGTATTGTTGGATCTTGTTCCAAAATTCAACCTTACCTATCAATCAAGTTTCCATCGGATCCAAAATCTATGATATTCCTATTCGATAATTCGCATCAGTTCTTATTTGCTTTTATTAGCCGCGATTTAAATTCATGTGTTTGCCCAACGGTGACAAGGCGCCTATCACATTTGATAACATAGAGACATTGCTGCGATCCTATTATGTACAATCAAATTCGTATGTTCCATTATCCAACGTAATTGATACATCGCATTTTGGTGTCTCGTAATCTTCCAACAGATCCACCGTTTTAGTGGAACTTCAGAAGACCGAGTTTTATAAACAGTTTAGATCATTAAGTTAATAATTTATCGATCAAAAAAAAGGGGGGGGAGGGTTGGGAAACGTAAATATTTCGTGGCGAAAACCTGTTAGATTTCGCGGTACAGTGCGGCGTCGGTGGCTTACGCAACGACCTTACATTTTTCGTGAGGTGAACAGAATATCAATAAAAAAATACTAATAATAATAATAAAAATCGCGCCGTTATATTATACTTAATACTTATGTACAATGATATTATCATTCGGATTAGAAAAATATCGGAACGTTTTGATAATATTGAGAAACGCCGAGTTACCACACGCGCTATAATGTTATGTTATATTGATGTTCATCCCACATACCGTAGGGGTTTAGACGTATAACACGGTCCAATTCACCGCACGTAATAATAATCGGGACATAATATTATATAATGCACACGACCCGCGGCCCAGACTACGGCGTACGAACGAAGAAAAACGTCGGTTTTAAGTAGAAAACGGATAAAAAAAAAAAAAAACAAAAACAAAAACAAAAACAAAAATCCTAAAATTATACGCGTCGCACGGGACTTACACAACCGTTTACCCGGTCAAAATGACGCGGCGGTAAAGTAATAATAATACGGTGGCCGCGTTTCTTTCACGAGACTGGACGAGGCCTATACCGCGGGCAAACACGAGCATATGGGTGTAATTATATCGACAATATTATATTATTATAATCAAATATAAGTGGTCACGCGATTATTTGAAATATTACACGATAAAAAAAAAAACCATAATACAAACTGTTCGGATGGGTGGTGCACGTTTGAAAACTGCGCGTTTTGATTTTTGCAGGTATTATCGTAAAGCCACACTCTTTTTATCTGTAAATACGCCCGATTATACTAGTGAGACGTTATTTACGTGTTAAAAATCCTTTGCGCGACAATGTAGATAACTATGTATAACATCCACCATAACACCATAACATTCCACATTTACCTCGGATTCATCAATACTGTTTAATATACTGGTTAACCAACTTGATCTTTACTAAGGTTGGACCATTTTTTTTTTTTTTTTTTTTATGCTCGTGATTCTCGTTTGGCTGGCGATAAAAGGTCTCCCTCAAATTTTCAGATCTTTAAAATAGTTTTTTGATTTTCCATATAGGTTTTTTGATTATTGAGCAAAACTGAACCGAAAAAAAAAAACATAGAAAGAACAGGAAAATTTACGAAAAAATGCTTTCATTATTTTCAATGTTTTTGCAACTCCGTTAAAATTGTTCGTTTTAGTCAGATCCCCGTCCCGCAATGTCAAATGCCAATAAATTAATGCCACGCATCTGATTGGCTAATAAGTTATTGGTGGTTGTAAAAACACCTATATCTACAGCTGTACTACATAACAAATAACTACATTATTCAACGTGTTGTAGTCATCGGCGAACTTTTGTGTTCTTGAGTGTTTACACATTTTAGTTTCACATTGTTGCATTTATTAATTGTAATTGCTATTTTTATTTTGGATGAAGAAATTCAATTAGAGCACACGTTGAATAAAAAAATGTAATTATGTACCGTATACTACGCACATGGTGCATACAATTAATGCACACGCTGTATAATTAATATTTTTTTAACTATGACGTGTTGAGGTCGCGGTAATGAAATAGGTTCCTCCTACGTGCGTAACTAGTCATCGTCTTAATATGGTCGTAATATAGATATTTTAATTTTACGTAATTTTTATTTGGTAGGTATATTATGGATAAAATTGTTAAACTTAACAGAAAATTTTGAAAATTTCACAGGAGGCTCATTATAATAAGTCGTACTTAGTGGTAACTAAAACTTGAGTATAATCTAGTTATTTTATTTTTTTTACAATAGTTATAATATCAAATATTGACGAAAATCATAAATATTACAACCTTTCAAAATATGTCTTACCGTACTTCGCTCCGAATCGTTTTTCATTAGCAACAGTTTATAGTTGATTATAGATACAAATTAAATAACTTTATGTTTCCTATCTACCAAATTTTTCACTTAAAACAGTAACACACCTGCCCCCCAGAATTAGCTATTTTTTTATTAGTTTTTTATTTTTTACTGTCTAAATAGGAACTCGTATCTCAAAAAAATAAAAATGTACAAAAATAATTAACACAACGATAAGAAATATTCTTATGTTAAAAAAAAAAAAGGAAACAACAAAAAAACAAATAACTGAAGCTTAGTATTTTTTTATTTTTTTATTAGACTTAATTAAACTTATATGCTTCAGCGGCTACACATAGAAAAGACAATTATAGAACTAAAAACGGAATATTATAATAAAAACCCTTCGGAAATGAAAAAATGTATTATGGAATAAATGAGGGAGACATTAGATGATTGAAAAATATAGGGGAGAGTAAAGGGAATGTTATTATATTGTTAGTGGTACATAAAGAGGAAAGTAAAACACGTCTATTAGTAAGGGCAAAATAGTTGAAAAAGAGATGGCAGGAGTTGTAGGTGAAGGAACCGTCATGACGAGAAATAAAGGGGAATTATTAAGGGATAGGTAATAAACGTGAGCAGGGAAACGATTATGCCCGAATCTGAGGTGGGAGTAAGAGACCATGGTACTTCGAGAAATGGGGATTTTATGGAACCCGATTTTATGTATCTGGTAAGATAGAAGGACAGATAAGGCGAAAAGAGGAAGCAAAGGTAGAGGGTAAATTTAACCATTTACAATTTCATGACCTAAAACATGAGCCTTAAGAACTGGGGAAAAGTCGGAATAAGGGATTTTAATTGGAGAAGGGATAGAATGATAGGAACATGACGTAGCGAGTTGGTTCACGATTTCGTCTCCTATATACCTGAATGGCTAGGAACCCAAACAATGTGTATTGAGTAACCAGAATTAGAAATAGAAAAGAGGATTGAACGGATTTGAAGTACGAGGTAGAAAACAGCGGAAACGAAATGGGAAAAATGTAATGCCACGAGACAAGATTGGGAGTCAGAACAAATGACAAAATTACGAATACCTAATGATTTTATGGTTAAAAGGGCTTTATATATAGTAAGGCATTTAGTTGTAAAAAACGAGGCAGATAGGGGAGTGTTATTGGAAAACTTAATATGAAGACTAGGGGTATAAAAGAATAATCAGCGGACGTTTTCAAAACGGATCCATCGGTAAATTCTATGCTAGCTTAGTATCATAAAATTTAATTGCTGAAATTATTAAGTAGGTTTGAAGGAATTCTATGATTGTTTATTATTGTGATAACGTTCAATGAACATTTCATCGATCTTGTACATGAATTCTTCCCCTTCTTTTACGGGCAGCTTACGTAATTTTTTGATGAGCATTTTACCAAACAAATCAAACTCGTCGTCTACATAAACCTTTTTCGATTGACTTCCGGTTTTTTTTACGTCGGGTGAGTGCCCTTGTTGGCGAGATTCTACAGGAAGTTGCTGTTGTTTAATATTTGCACCTACTCCAAGAACCTCATGAGTTTCATCGGTTAGTTGACTGAGATTATATGGTAAAATTTCAAATTCTTCGCCATATTCTTTCTTTATATCACATATCTTTAAGTCACAGTCAATTTGTGAATTATTTTTCTGAAAAAAAAAAACAATAATCACTAATCAGTGTTGATACAGATAAGCAATATTTTTTATTTAGATAAAATATAAATTTAAAAAATAATACCAGACAGTAAAAAAAAAACGGTTTATATCACTAATAAAATAAATGGTTCTTATCAGACTTGGAATAAACGATACCTTACCTTAGTTACCTTACTAAAGATGGCTATTTTAAAATACATACCTAGGTTTTAATGATTTAATGTGGATATTATATTATAATATTATATTTCAAAATTTTCTCAAATTGATAGTAGTCGCCAGTCACAGTTAGTATAACAGCATTGATTAAATATGCCTAATTAATGGTTGTTGCAGTGAACACTTAGCAGAAACAACTGCTAAAAATCAACTATTAATCTATAAGGTAAGGTATTAGGTATTATTTATAAGGTATAAGGTATTATTTATTCCAAGTGGGCAGATTTTATGGAAATACCAATCCCAAAAACAAATAAATGCTCTTTATGTAGTATAAATATTTTCGCAATAGAAGAAGGTGTACAAAAATGTATAAAATGTGACAAATCTGTACATATTTTCTATCTTGTTCTGGGCAATTATCATATCACAACAGTTTAAAAATTCGTAAATCTGGCACAAAAACTAAAAATTCATTTTTTAACAGAGAAACCATGGCCCATGAAACTCGGAAAAGAAAGAGTAAACGAGAAAAGCAGAAATCATACTGAACACCAAATCCATTTTTGCGCCATGTAAATATTAATAATTAATATTAAATAATTCACGCAACACGTAGCTGAGGAACTCAAAAGTTGTAATAATAAAAAAACAGGAAAAATAATATTCAGCAATATCTATATGTGTATTTGATACGTTGGTATTTATATTTATGGTTTCATACTGTGATAGTGAACAATATAAAAACTGTATCAATGAACTCCATTTTTAATTTGTTTTCAATATTGTTACAAAAGATATAGCTTTTACTACGTACACAAAAAGAACTAGAATAATATTAAATATACTTCAACCTGAAATATAGCCACTTGAATATAATAATTCGATAGTTAGTTGTAATACAACAGCAGGACTAGTGGTTGAAAAATGGTGCATAAGTATATTAACTGTTGTTGAACATAATATTATCTGTTCCAATACAGATTGTGAGAGAACTGCAAGTCGTTCAGTAGTATATTCGATATTTCAAAAATCAGGTGGAAACCTAAACCAACCTCCATAAAAGAAAATTTCAAAGTTTATTGTGAATATTTAATATATACAATTTAATACATATCTCTTTTCAACATTTAAAATTTAATTTATACCATATTATGCAAAAACAAAACAAAACATGCTAACTTCATCAGTTCTGTTTGGGGGAGAGCGTGCTGGAGAAATGCCTAAATGCTCAAATCGCAATTTAGCCTTGGAGGGGAGATCTTACAAATTTCGAAAATTATCAACTATTAACGGATTTTAATATTCTAACGAATTTTTTTTTACCTGTATGTTTTGGTAATAACTATAAATTTACGTAGCTAGCAGCAGCATTTTTGAAACCCTGGCGAGCTGGATACAAAATACAGAGGGTTATAATATATGATCAATATTCAACACAGGTATAATAATCTTATTAACGAACATGCTCCCAACTCCCGCACCAATGAAATTCTAGAAAATTCGTATTCAAATATTTTGTACCTTATTTGTATGAATTTGTTCGACACTAGTATCCGAGTAATATCAAACAAACTGAATGGGGGGCCTACGACATAAGTCTCCAGCCTCCATTAATGTAAATAATTAAATTCTCATATATTTTGTGCTACACGATTAAAGAGATCAATTTGTATGATCATTTCCGAAATAAGTTTGGCGACCCCCCATCTCGTAATTATCGGAATACCCGTTTTCCCTTTGGTTTTGCTCGTCCTCCCCCAATGCTCCAAATGGAAAATGTATTGAACTATAACACATAATTTTTTTTTTTAATACTCATATAATGTTATATTTTTATAATTTGTGGATAGCAATGATAAAACTTGTATTTTTTTTTTTATTTTTGAAAACGTGAACCGGAATTGCACTGCCAAGCCCAGACATGAGCATATCCTTGAGTAAACATCATTCCAAGAGATCAAAGTACAACAAAAAACATTTAATTATATTTCTGTAGATACATAGACATACACTGTTTCAAAAGATTATTACGTATCAAATTACCTACAAGTAATTTGTGTGATGAATATTTCAACTGGTTTTTTTTTTTTTTTTTTTTTTTTTTTTAAACCATAACACCAGTTATGTTATAAAAATAATGAAATAACAGTATTTGTATGAAAATTTAATATTGGATATTTTTATTCGTGGGGGATTAATAAATAGTACACATTAATGAAAATTGGATTTTAAAAATGTTTGTTTTTCACAGTTTTATCTATATTTTATCGGAGGACCTACTCCCCGATAAACGCTAACGATGGGCGAACCGGACGCTAACGGGCGAAACGACAATATGCCCGTCCCGTGCGCTTTGAACGGGCGGCCGGGGCGAGTGCCCGCTCTCTGGGGCCACTGGTCCCCTGTCATTTTATGTTTCCAAACCCGAGCACGGATGATGACACAATATTGTTAATAACTGTGAGAAGTGGAAAATACGTCGGCGTCGATGATGATAATGATAACAATAACGATAACAATAATAATAGTAATAATAATAATAGTAATACGACGACGATTGACGGTGTGTCTCCGGTACACGCTCCCGAGATCGGAGCTGCTGCCGGGTGTGTTGACTCGGCCGCGGCGCGCGGCGGTCCGAGAAGAGTTCAACGGCCGGACACGCGGCGCACATGCGCACTATCCGCCGCCGCCGCCGTCGTCGCCGTCGCGAGTTTACCGTTATCTCCGGTAACGACAGCGACCGCTGCCGCCGAGTTCGCCTCATCTACGGCGTGAGCGGACCGCCGCCGCCTCCGTCCCGCCGTTCCGCCACGGCCGCGCGCGCGCGCGCGTGGCCTACTCGCGACTCTCCGCGCGACGCACGACCCGCGCAAACGCAATAATTAACAATAACGATATTATTAAATTGTTGTTACGCGATAATCGTCGATCTTTCAATAAACGCGCGTCGCGGACACGTCGCACGCGGGGAGCCCGTAATTCGGTGGCGTATTTACAGAGGGATGGGGGAGGGGCGGCGGTTCGGCGGTTCCCCGTTCGCCACTCAGAGGCGCACCGCTTTTATAATATCGGTGTGGTGGTGCTCGGTGCTATTCGGTACTGTTACGGACTCGGCCGTCTAAATCGCGTAGGGAAAAAAAAAAGTCGTAAACACGTCACCGCGTTCGCGAGATTTTTCGGTTATTCAAAACAATTATACAGACCGTGTATACTACTGTATTATTACGTGAACGTTTTATTCGGAATTCAATCGAAAATAACATTGTTATTGGACAATATTAATTGTTTCTCTAATTTCCTGTGCGTAAGGTATTCTCCGGGGTTCACCAACCCGAAATGTTCGGAAGGTCACGCGTAATAATTTAAAAATTGTCACTCTCTTATAATTCCGAATGGTTTGCATACGTATCTATGAATTTCATATTCTCTGAACTTTAGTACATTTAAACCAAATCATATTTTAATCGGTTGATACGCTTTAACATAATATTGATTGATACTAAAAATTAAAATCGGGTAACATTATAAATGCGCCTATATTATAACATATAATACAAATATCGTGAACACGAACATAATATAGGATAGGTGATTTAATTTATGTCTGTACACGAGGATAAATCATTACTGACGAAAATCAATCATGAGCAAAGATCGGGTAATCATTATGTTTTAAAATATCGCAATTTGTATGGTTTTTATACAAATATGAACTTTAGATGCTTGTAAAAAAAAAAAAAAAAAAAATAGATAGTATATATTTTCGATATTTTCATAGTGACATAGAAGAACAACTCCAAGTCGAATTTCAAATGGGTATAAAAAAAAACTGCTGTAAAGTTTTGAAAATTGTACCACGTTTAGAAATGGCTAATTTGTTGAAAAACTGAATTACAGCTGAAAATCAACAGAAGCTTTATTATTTCATATTTTGACGGTGTTTTTATTCGGCTTTTCCTAATTATTAAAAAAAATCTACAAAGAAAATCAAAAATCGATTTTTCTAATATACTTACTGAACGCCTGATATGTTGATGAACTGAGCAAGATTTCTGATAGAAAAATTGTTCACTGAAAAAAGCCGAATCACTGTTGTATACGGGAAGTTTGAACGGTAATGGGCAAAAAATAAACATGCGATTTTAATGAAAACCGTTAGTCGATGCCGGGGATGGAGACCGAGAATCGGGGACTGGGACCAGAACCACTATATTGAATCACATTTTTTTTCAATTCGAGGAACTGGAAACTATTAAATTGAATATGATAGGATTTTTTCGGGTTCTTATTGGTTTAATAAAGAAAATTATTGCAAAATAAATAAATGAATGAAAACAAAAACTGTAACTAGTGTAAATTGTAAATGCGCATTATTGAAAAGAGTACAGACATATTTCATCGCGTTTTCAGACTACCCACCGTAAATAAAATAAAACAAAAAATTACTCACCGTATGCATTTTATAGATTATTAATCGAATAATACTGGAATAAGCGGAAAAGAGGATTGGTAACTGTAATGAAGTGACGTCTAAGTCTTTAGATAAGAATCTAAAATATAATAATAACGAAACCATGTCTTGTTGGCATTTTTATTTTATACTTAACCAACAATACTCTTGATTAGTACTTCCGCCGTGCACTTTTTATCCGACAATTATCAGTCATAATTTGATTGTTTGGATCCAAAGAATTTAATTGGACAGTTAAAAACACACAATATATTTTTGAACACTCGTATAATATGAGTATTTACATACTAAGATTTTACTATTAATAAAAAAAATATACTCAAAGGAGATGTTTTGCAATAAAACAAGTATATAGGTAACTATTTTAAATGTAAAGTGTAACGACTTTTTGGTGACTTTGCATCGTATATTTCGTAAGTACAATTTGATTTATTTGGATCCAATCGTACTTGATGAGGATTTTTATCAGATAATATGACGTCACACTAATCGCGTGTATTAAAAAACTAGTGAAAAACCATTTTTTTTTTTTTTAAATAGGCAAAACAAAAGCGCTACCAAATTTTATATATATTTTGAGCTTTAAAATCTTTTTAAAACTACACACGCAGATTTGTATTTCGATTCATTAATGTATCAAACGCAACTGAATAGGCGTAATATAAAAACAAAAAATATTTAAAAAATGATTCCACTGTACATAATATAGATACCTGTAATAATGTAAATTAATTTTAATTATTATTAAAAGTAGTATTATTCAATTTTATTATAGTATTATTAGTATTATTCAAATAAAAATGAGAACCCTGCCTCGTGGTGGGTTCTAGGTAACTTTAAATGGCTGTCAAACTATAATTTAGATGAATAGAAAAAAATTTGAAACGAAAATTGAACCTTTTTTCATTTTGGCGAAAACGATAATCACCTCTATAATATTAACATTACAAATAACTGAAAAAACAATTTAGGGAAAGAGTAATAATGCCCAACCTCCCTTGACTTTGTAACCGAATTTATTATGTACAATGACGACCAATTAAACGATTTCAAAAACAATTTTCCGTTCTCGCCACCGCGCAGTAACGCGTGGTATTTGAAAAATAATAAAAACTATCTCGGGTTACCGTATGGTACTTTAGATTATATACAACAGAGACCGCTCCTATATAATAGCTATTATTGTTACTGTATACGAGTGAAAACTATTTTATGCCTATTCGTGTATCCGCGTACCTATTATATCGACGACTGGAGACGATCGTCTCGACGACTGCCTACACGACATCACGCAGTCCTCCGATTTACCGAGGAATTCGTATTAATTATATTTTAATCTATAGGTTAGGTAAAATACATCTCGCATCTGCGCTTACCTGTTTTACGGGGGAGATTGATTCTTTTTACCCGCCCCGTTCTGTATATGATATTATTATGATGATAGTGTTGTGCGTTCTAAACACGCGAGGATAGTGGATATACCTAGTATATTATTGAAAAGTCGCCGCAGAGATGCATTTATTATATAGTTCGGTTTTTTTTTTTTTTTTTTATATTAATTATATATATTTTCTTTGGTACATGAATCGAATTACAGATTGTGACCGGAGTGTAAAATGGATTTGTCTCAATAATTTTACTATGCCTATAACGACGATTTATTTTTATTAACAAGTTTTAAGTTAAAATTCATTAAAACTACGAACAAAAACAAATTGTTTTGTGTTATTCGATATTAATATCATTTTCAGTTTAAATCTGTTCAAAAATTTTTAATCGAATTACGTTCCTAACTTCCAATTTATTTTGAATTATAGTTTTTTGTTAAGTTACACAAATCGGGTATACCTATGATAGTAATGACTGTAGGTAATTATTATTGTTCTAAAACTAAATCTTAATTTCAATTGTATAAAATAATATATTATTTTACATTAACGTTGACAAAAAAAAAGCACCAAAGTTATTTCTGTTCAATCACAGAGAGTTTCCGGTATTTTCATGGCAGAAGCGTTAAAATACTGTACAATTATTATTAATAGTTTCTTCGGCCGTTGAATACAAAATAGTTTAAGAGAGCTCGGCCAAAAGAGGCCGTTCATTTAAAAACCTTTCCTGACGACATTTATCGGTAACTACATTGAAATCATATATTTTATTAATTCTTATCATTTTGTTTTTATTCACTTTATTTTCCCTATGATATGTACAATCATGGCTTAGTTGAGGAGACAGAGAGATATAAACTAAGAGTGGTGGCCTTACAAGAGATATGATGGAATGATAAAGGAACGCTAGATATCCAAGATACAACGATTTTCTACGGCGAGTGTAATAAACATCGTCAGTTTTGAACGGGCTTCGCAGTACATAAAAACTTAGTATCTTTAGTAAGAGAATTCAAAAGCATTAATCCAAGAATATCAGCGTTAACAGTAGAAGCACAATATTTCGATATCACATTCGTGAATGGGCATGCACCCACGGAACAGAAAACGCAAGAGGAAAAGGACGAATTCTACGATAACTTGGAACACACGCTAAACGAAATCCCACGAAATAGAATTAGAATAGTCCTAGAGGACTTCAATGCCAAGTTAGGGAAGGAAAACATATTTCGGTCAGCGATTGGTATACATAGCCTTCGCGATGTAACTAGTGAGAATGGACTCAGGCTTATAGATGTTGCAAGTGGTGGAGGACTTATTGTAAAGAGCACGATGTTCCCACATAAAGATATATGTATCTAAATATATAAGGATACATGGAAGGTACCAAATGGTAGATATGTCAGTCAGATAGACCATGTCCTGATAAATACTAGGTTCAAAAACTGTGTACATGATGTTAAAACTGTAAGAGGTGCTGACTGTGATACAGACCACTACCTAGTTAAAGAAAAGCTGAAAGTAAAACTCAAGAAACTAATACATAGTAAAGGAACGTTAGTAGACAGATTTGATGTGAATAAGCTAAAGGACACCAATATATGTGAAATTTTCAAGCAACAATTACATGAAACAATGAACAGTCTAAACATACCGTCGACATGAATAGAAATTGCCTAAATGTTACTCCTTAATATTAATATAGCCCCCTCAAGGGGATTGGAAACGACGAGTTTCTGTCTTACACACGTGACACACGGGGATTTAGACGTGTTTTAATTCCAACGTTTTATTTCCAAGCGAAAGAAACTCGTCGCTTCCAATCCCTTTGATAGAAAATAATCGTATGACGGATACAATATTGAAAAATCCGCCTTTGGAAACGCATGGTAGGTGGGTATAGTAATAACGTTTTCGGGTGAAATAATAGTAATATAATTTAACGTCCGTTTCGTATGGAGTACCGTATCGGAAACGCGTTTTCGCCACGATATCATAATATTATAAGGATAACAACAGCGATAACGTGTAACTGTTTACACAGCCCCCGTGCGGTAGTCGGCGCGACACGCGGTGCGATTATCCGTCGGGAGAAGCAAAAGAGAACGCGACGTCAACGTCAACGTCGACGACGGGAGGTACACGCGCCCGCGTCGCGTCACGACCGAATTCGGTGGGGGGGTACGCGTCCTGGTGCGGTGACACGCAACGCTAAACGGATTATCGCGCGCGTCTTCGTGAAAAGAGCGGAATATTAAATTATTATTCTCCGTTCTGCCGCGTGAACGAACACAATGATTTCCGTCCGCTCATTACGCGCGTGACGTCTACGATATTATTATTATTATTATAATGTATACAGTGTCGTGGGCGGCTCTAAATAACAAAACCGAACGACTCAGGACCACGAAGACTACGGGGTGGCTGGGTGGGAGGGGAGGGGGGGTCCGTCATCGTGGTTTATTATCAGACGCGACTCACAATCGCATTACAAATCCACGCTCGGCACTCCCACATTAATATTGTATTATCATAACGTAGGTATAAAATATTATATGTTATTATAGGTACCGGTGTGCTAGGTGTGTGTGTGTGTGTGTGTGTGTGTAATAATTCCGAATAAAAGAACAATAATATTTTACGATTCAATTTTGATGCTATACATAAAAATAATAATAATAAAAAAAAAAAAAATGATTCGACAACCTAAACCGACGGAGATGAGTAATGCGGTGTGCAGCGCGTTATGACACCGTACGCGATAGGAAACTCGACTGTTTATCGACATTTTTTTTTTTTTTTCCCGGTAGTCGTCGTTCACCGCAGGAGTGTAACGTCAATAAAACCGCAGAAAAAGTTACTTAAACGTAAATGGACTTTTGTCCGTATTAATAAATAAATAAATTCGAATTTATCAAGTAGAATACGTTAGGTTACCTATTGTGAACAAAAAAGCCGTCTACAATTTAGAGCTCGTTTCATTCGTTTAATTCTAAACTTAAAAAAATTAATTCAACACAAAATAAAAAAAGACGCTAATATAATTTTCCGCACAGTTTGACATTTACCACCGGGTTTTCGAGATGTGAGCTAGTTTTATTATAATATCTACAAAATGTTTGGTGCAGTCATGTTAATTGCGCACCAGTATTTTTCACTCGCTGTTAATTCCGAAAATTTAGCGGAATTCCCATTCACTTGTCCAAAAAGTTAGAGGTTGGAATTTTCTCGTTCACGGACACCTGATAACTTTGCTTGTAGTTTTTTTTCTCAATCAAAAACCGTTAAATACAAAAATGTTAGTGAAAATTAAATTGTTGGTCTTTTCGCATGAATTCCTTCGTCTGCTGTACGTATTTTTATAATAATTAGTAGAATAATTAATATAATTATACATAATTTGTATTGAAATCACGGGAAAGACTGCAGATAGAATACTACTTATTAAGGAATCTAAATCTAATTAATATTAATTAATCATTATCGAAAAAATAAAATACATAATTTCCATAATAATTATGTTTGACGTCATCAGTAAATTATTTGTATTTTTGCAATTAATTTATTATATTATATATATTATCTTATACAAAAATATCTAATAATAATTCACAATTTTATTTTTACTGCAGTTAAGTATGTATGTGCGTATTGTATGTTTACAATTACTGAATAGTAATATAAAATAACGTGTACATTTGTTTAACATAATATTTATATAAAAAGAAAAAAAAATTGGATTATTCTTCACACGTTCAGTGTACTAATAATTTGGATAGATCACAGGATTTAGCATAAAAAGTAAAACCATAAAAACAATACATCTTTTTTACCAGAAAAAAATATTTATAACATCGAAAATTAATATTTTTAGGTTAACGCAAAGTAACAACAAATTTAAAAAAAAATATAGTTGGATCACTCAGTATATTATGTATAGCATACAATATAACTAATATATTAAATGTTTGTATAAAATATTCGGCATCAGAAAAATAATTATCTCGTAAAAATAACGAAACGGCCCGGCACACAAAAGTACTAAAGTAGTAAACAGTATAAAAAAAAATCGTCGGTCGTAATTTACATTACATTAAAACGCTGAACTGACAACCACCACCAAAAAAGATTATAGTGGACGTCAACTACTAATCAGTGATATATTTATGAAGATCCTTTGTTTTTAGTTTGTTAAAAGTATACAATTAAATGTCATGTATGTCCATCATAAGATAAAAATAAATCAAGTGGATTAATGAGTTAAAAAATGTGCACAATTTATGGATTTGTGCTTAATAGAAATGATGTAAAACATTTTGGCCAGATCAAAATTCTAAAAGCTATACGAACCACGGCCGACTTCTTTTTCATGGTTAATTAAGAAAAGGATGACTTGTAAACTATGGATTTGTGATCACAAATATTTACAAATAACGTAAACAATTTCGGGGCCGTAAAAAATTTAAATATGGCAAAACGGCCAAGTTTTGTGGAAGTCTGCCGCAAAATAGATTTGAGCGGATAATTAAAAACAGTTAGAACTATAAATTTCAAATTTATGCTCACAATTACTTACAAATAACTTGAAAATGACTTAAAAAAACTGGTTTTAAAATATTGAAATTGCGCGGCTCACTTCACGGATCTCTTATCTTTATATTTTATTTGTACAGATACAATACCAGCGAATCTTAATTCACAAAAAAAAAAAAATATATAACAATTCCAGTTCGTCAGCAGCGATTTTTGGTAAATAACGCAATTTGTGTGTATTTCATATTTTGTACGGGTTAAATTATCGCCGAACAAAAATTACTAGAAGGTGAAGGTAAATCAAATTCCATATGTAATATGGAATAAACAAGGTCCTATATAGTTATATATATTATATATTATTATTGATAAAAAGAAAATCAATATTGACGATTTTTTTTTTAGATTGAATCTTGACAATTAAGGGGGGGGCATTAATTCGAGATATAATTTTTATCCAGATATGAAAGCCTAAATTATTATTTAGCACGCAGAAATTTAAAATTTTTAACTATGAAAATGTAATAATTAGATGATTATTCACTAAGAATCTTCGTTGATATGATCATATTAAATTTTACATACAAAATAATGCGTTTATATAAAATGCATTATAATGAAATAAGCAAAAGCGTATATTTACACCAAGTTTTGGCTAGATAGGATCTACATATTTACCTTTTCTGTCAACAGTTGCTAAGGAATTTTCTTATATTATTCTCAGTGACTAAATGATAACATTATTTTAAAATATTTATAATTTGTTTTTATTTTCAATAACTAATATAAATAAATAAAGAATCGAAAAAGTGACAAAAATATTATTATGCCATCAAATAGACTATTTGAATTATCGCGTCCAAAACGACGGCCGGTGGTAGAGGAGCGTATATTACCAGTGCCGGTGTCAAAAGCGGCTTTAAACAGCAAAATCTCCGATCGCATAGTACAATTAGCGAAACCGAAAATTAGACTACCTGACCCAGAATACCATACACCGAAACCAATTATTCATCCCCAACTAACGAACAGAAAAAAAGAAAAACCATTGAAAAAACCTGGTATGAATACTCCAGAGCGTACGAAAAACGTGGGACTTTTGGAAACGGAACCACGCGAACAGATCCATCTGAACTGGATAAAGAATAACGCTGGGACGATTTACACAAAATAGCAAGAATGACACAAGAATAATGCAGTACCTAAAAATCGTATAGTCCAGTCACCTACTGTGAGAAACTAAAAAGTGTCGATTCAAATTAAAGAAGTAATATTATTGTACATTTGAAACCATGTAATATATGTATCACTTGTATATTAATAGGAAAAAAAGTTGTTTAAATAATTTTAACTAAAACGTAGATTACTGAAAAAAAATATTTACATAATTCATTTAGATATGTATATGAAAAGAAGCAAAATAAAAAATCTGCCCTAGGATAATGGGGACGGGTGTAGGCACTCCTCCGTTTTTCCTCCGTGTTTTTCCCATTTATTTGAAAAGCCCATGGAAAAATCAAAAAATGACATCCTTATAATACCTCGCCAGTAAGATTTACTTTTAGAAAAAGTTCTATGATTGTAAATCTGAGCAAAATTATTGCTGGTAGAAAAGTTTTCCACATAAGAAAAAATAAACATTGTAAAACCAATACATTTAAATTAGGTGCTTGTTAGTGAAAAAAAAAAAACAAAAATAAATGGCTGCTGTATATAGAATTGGTAACTATTAATAGTAATTGCTAACAACAGTGCTGGTAATATGCAATGGTCATTATTTTAGCTATAAATTTTCAGGGGGGTTTCCAGGATTTATCAATGGTCTCCCCCATTGATAAAGAGGATCTTCAATCTTCTTAACCATAGCTATACCTTAAAAAATATGAGGGGTATATAAGCTAAAACTTCTCGTGGCTATGGCACTGTCAATTCTGGTTAATAACAACGAAACATAAGGTAAAATCAAAAATTCCGATAGAAACATTTTTTTTTTTCGTTAAATCAACTTTGATGTTATATTTTTAACGTTTATTTACAAAATAATTACGCTAATAAAAAAATATTATTGCAATAATATTTTTTTAGATTTTAGGAATCGGTAGTCACCTAAAAATGCTGGCTCACTCCGCGGGAAAAGCAAATTACACGTAAGCATACCTACCTACATACATATAGGAAGGTATGACTCAAGCGCGTACGTTGTTTTTGCACTAAATCCGGCGCTACCAAATATCGACAGAAAGCAAGGCGGGGATCTAGGAGGGGCAATAAAGGCAGTATAACCCTAGCTTGATTCATCGTTTGTCATAAATGCGTGCCTTATATATTGTATTTTCAAAATCCTTTCCTTCCGTTAACTTGTTCTGGAATCGTTCCTGATGGAAGGGTGTGTTTAGAAAATTTGCCGACTCGAAGTAGTTTCTGACTTTAAAAATGTTTTAGCATCCTTTATTTTGATCTTCTATAAATAATACATTTGGTGATAATAATATACTTAAAATAATAATTACGTAATAAAATTAAAAAAAAAAAAACAAATAAATTTTTAGTTTTGCAGTGTTTATGGTAGATTACATATTAAGCAGTAAAAATTTAAAATAATAAAATCATAACGCCGTAAATTTGTCAGTTTTTATTTTATGATTTTTTTCCAGTTTTACTTAGTTAATAATAAAAATATAGAGAAAATCAAAACGCGAATAACTTACTCATGAAGTAGATTAAAAATTAAATTTAAAAAAAAATGTCTCTTGACGTTTATTTAATGAAGCAATATTCATAGTATATGCGATAAGCCGTAAAAATTTTAGAAACGATGCTACAGTCTATACTTCGCAGCAAGTTTTCAGATAGAAATGTTGTCCAGACACAAAAAAAAAAGGAATATAAAAACAATAGATAAGCTAAGCTCCGAATCTAAAAGGGCCGCACAAACAAACAAGGAACGAGTTTCCTTTTAGAAAAATGCAAAAAAAAAAAAAACGGAAACAAATTCCTACTTTGCAATTCGAACGATAAACGGGAACGGATTCCATTTTAAAAAGAACTTTTACAACACGACTGTACAATTGTATTCATTTCAGCAATTTATAACTGAAATATTCACAATTTTCTTATGGTTCAAAATGTATTTATTTTAATTTTGAGTGTTTTTCTTTGGTAATTTAATTTTAATTTTCGTACGATCGATATCTATTTCCCTATACTGTGGGGAAATACATACGGTGTAAACAAGATGCGCACCATATGAAAGACATAAAAATACCTCGTGTAAGGCACAGGATGTTGCACAGTATAGAATAAAAGTGTCTCAAATAAAAACTCCGATGGGAACATACACATGCACATATCTACTCGTTTTCGAGACAAAAGGCGATTTTTCGGACTCTGGAGTTTTTACGTTCGAAAACGTTTACGCTGACGTCGTCGAGGGGATGATAATTTCACTTAATGTTCGTGTAAAATCAGAGCGTGGCGAGGGGTGAAAAAATAATACGCGTTTTACGACCTGGCCCATTTAACGGCCAATACGAGACTATAATATTATTATCATTGTTGTAATAATGCCGCAGTCATAGAGGATCGTATACGACACGCTGGAAAACGGTCCGACCGAGAGAATATTGTAATTTTTTTTCTCTTTATTACGGCGCGAGCATTTTTGCTCGTAAAAGTCGAACGTGAATCACGTAACTCGACCACGACGGGGCGTTTCGGAACGGGTATAAAGTGATATTTGTCGTCGATCACTTCATAGTCCTCGCGGAGAATGTGAGTACGGACGCCGTGTACGAAGACTCATGCCGTGGAACCTCCGTGAAATGTAGAATCTTAACGCATTATCGGACACACTCAGTCGCGTAATGCTTAATAATAATAAAAATAATAATAATAATAGCAATAACACGGTACGCTGTCATCCCTTATAAACCCCGTAGACATAATATAATAATAGCACAATGTACAGCGTTTATTCCTGGGACGCGACCGTGTTTTTCGTTCGCGCCACGTATCTATACGAGTATATTATTATAATATTTACACGTAGAAACACAATGGTTCTCGGACATTATTTTTTTCGTTTTCGCCAAAAGAACCCGAACAGGACCGTCGTGGGTGGTCGGTGCCCGCCGGCTTATAGGTAAGCGCGTTGTACACCCTCGCGAATCGTCTTTATTATAATATTATTACGACATTTGGATAATGGCAAGTGAATAAAATACAAATGTTTGTACTTAATATTTCATCGAATATACTCCACCCACCCTAGGACGGTCGAACTTGGTTAACTCGGAGTTGAGGGGACCGGCAAAAAAATTTCGAATTATCCAAGAATTCGAGTTATCTAAATAAAATTTCAAAATATATATTTGTTTAAAACAATACAATATATTAATTCTTATGACATATTTATTATAACATGTACCACTTTCACCACTTACGGTTTTAAAACGAATGCCATTTCTTTCTTTGAAACCATTGAGCCATCCATTGGTTGCCTTAAAATTATGTTTTTCTAATTTTAATGCGAATTCTTCAGCTTTTTCTCTTATCAACAGCCCACTCAGCGGAATTTCCTTGTCACGTGTCTGTTTAAACCACTTGTAAACGCACTCATCAACATCAGGATTTTCCGGTTCTCTAACCCTTTTTCGGCCCCTTTTATATGATGTAGCCAAATTACATAAAATGGTTTCTTTATTTTTAAGATAAGTTGACAAAGTGTTCAGTGGAATACCAAATTCTTTAGCTATCAAAGATTTTGTTTTTAATCCATTTTCAACTTCCTGTATCGCTGCCGCTTTTTCCTCGTATGTTAGCGTTTTGAGCACGCGTTTTGATGACGACATTACGAACGAAAAATTACGTACGATCACGTTAAAACGTAACGGAGCACTGAACATTGAAATTTAATGTGTGTGTATATTGATGGATAATGGATCGTTTTAGTGTAGTAAACCAGTTAGATAAACCACTTATCGGTAACGATAACACCAATGACCTTATTTTCGATAGTAAATGTGCATACATGAAAGAAATACTTATCATAATTTTGTAATTATAAAAATCGACACTTCGAGTTATTCACGAAAATACTCGAGTTAAAAAATATTTGTTTGCATTGTTTAAATAGGGAATTCTAGATACCGGGGAAAAAGTTCGAAGTATCGACGGTTTCGCGTTAAAAAAGTTCGAGTTAACCAATTTCGACGGCATCTACAAAAATCATCATTCGACTTATACCAACATATTCAGACACTAATTTACTAATATTTTAAGTTTATCATCTCTAAGAAATATGTTTATGATAGCAACACAATTTCTTCTAAAACAATAATTAATGCAGTCATTTAAATATTAGGTGCTTGTATCAAATATTTTAATCGAAAAATTAAGTTTCAAAGAAAGATGGCAATTGAATAGCGATCAATTATTTTATTCTTACTTGGTATTATCTGTATATAATACGAATTAGTATGTATAAGTACTGTAGACATTAGACTTAATTCATATAAAACTGCATACAATTAAATAGTTAATCACATTCACTTTTACATTAGATCAATAGCATAACTATAAGCACTTGAAATTTATATTACCTGTGTTTGTTTTAGTACAAAATGTATCCAGTTAACCACGTAATTTATTAATGCCGGCAAGTCGATTTTCCCTAGTTTACTGCTTTTTACCTACACTTTAGTATACTTACTTTAAAATTGAGACATTTTAATAATTTAATAAACCCTAAAACAATGTTTGTCATTCGTTATCTGTCCGCAACTCAATAACTACTTATAGTATGGACATAATCATATCACTTTAATACACTATACGGTAATATATCGAAAACTGATAATGTACTTAAAATGAACGGGCAATTATTTTATTTTATTAGACATTGATAAGGTAAAGTCGCATTCTGTTATTGGGTTTTGGATAATTTGACTGTTTCACACGTTTACCGTCGAATATAAAATAATATAATAATACTTTGAAACCCATGTTGATTAAAAATGAAAAAAAAAAATATAAAAGGAAAGCGATGACGTAACCTAACCTAATTTTTAACTTTTATTAACTCTCTTATTTTAGGGGTTTAGGGACCTTTTAACGAGGCTTCTTTGATGGTGCGGTAAACCAGCAGTACTTCCGCTGGTTAGGGAGTTATTAATGGGCATTCGGCATTTTCAAGGTTTTTTAGTTTTTATTTGGATTTGTGAAAAAAATCATTTGGCAGAACAGAAATGTTTTAAAATCTAATATGAGGTTCATTATACATTTTACAAAAATAATGATAAAAAAAAAAAAATTTGTTTTTAAAAATGAATATTAATAAATAATAATAATACATACCCTATACATAATGGCTATTGTTTAAAATTGGATAATGTGACATTTTCGTTCATCAAAACTTGGTTCTATACTTAACGAACATTGGATATTACCCAATTTTTTATGTAAGCAATAACATCCCATATAGCAAAAATTTATTTTATTAAGATTTATAAAATACTATTTCAACGATAAAATCATTTTATTAATGTTTTTGGTTTTCGGTTTCACCAAAAGACTGTTTGACACTATCATAAAATGGCTTTGTGATCAATTCTCAAATAAAATATCCCAACTTAAAGTTAAAGTTCGTATACTTGCCTCTTCGTTCAATTATAATAATGACTTTGGTGTTTTCTACGAAACTAAAATGTTAACAGTTAAAATTAATTATGTAGCCAGTTGTTAACAGACGCGTAAGACACGATCATTTTCTTTTAGAAAAGGAAGTATCGGAGGATACATTTTAACCCGTAACTTTCAAAGTTGTATATTTTGGGAATTGATTGAGCACAAAAGATGGGATTTCAAGCAAAAACTAATAAAAAAAATCAAGCAATAGAAAGGTGAACATTAAAAGCATAAACGAATAAAGTTAATTTTTTTTCGATATTCCATGGGGGGGGGGAGGAGGGACATGACATTTTTTTTAACCAAAATTTTGTTCTAATAGAAAAATGACAAACGAATTTTTATGAATTTTAGATCTCGTTGATACAATGTGTAGGAAATTGTTCGATTTACCAATCGGTTTTCATAATAATTAGGATAGTAAAGAAATAATTAATAATAAGAAATAATTTATAAAAATAAGAAAATCGGACAAATATTTCTACGGACTTATGTATCTCAGAGGATTCACGTGAATTTGATTCTGAGTTTTTTAGTCATTGTGGAATCGATTAAGCTTTGGTTTAAAACTGTTTTTAATATTTTACTCCTACTCTATATACTTTAAATAAGTAAATAGGTACCTATTTTTTTATCTAATAATATTTATAAAATAACAGTCGGCCACAAAATTCACGTTTATATACCTAATATTATTACGAAAATATTATTTTTAAACATATTATAAACATGATATGAATACGATGAATGTATAAAGTGGAACATCAATCACTTGAAATTTAAGGGAACTACAATTTTTTGACTTTTCGACTTATTAAGGTTTTCGAGTTATAAATGTTTTAGGAAAAAAATTAAACTTCAAGAGTTTTTAAAACGAATGTACGATGTACGCGTATTATAGTTTTTAATTATTAAACAATTTATACAGTATTATACACTATAGTGTACATTGCAGATCTAATTACAGTGTCTATTATTATTATTATTATTATTTAAAAATTTTTTTTATTAAAAAATTATGAAAAAAACTGATAAAATAATTGATAAATAAAAAAATAATAAAAAATATGTATTATAATGTTGTAAATTTACAATAGATAATTTGTTATCTGACTTTGACTTAGAGTTTGAAACCACATGCTATCATCAATAACCCTATCAAAACATCGTATTATTTATAGTATTTTCTACTAAATTTAGAGCAAAGTACACTTTGTTCTAAAGTACAGTATAAAGTACACTTTACCGTCCATATTACTTGATTGTTATTGTGTCCATATACGTGATTAGGTTAAATTATAGGACGCAAAAGCCGATTAGATAAATGATCATACAAATTATCTTTTACTATCGGAACACAGAATATTCTATTTATCTATGGTTTTTCTTTTGACTTATTAATTTTTTTCGACCTGTTGAAGTTTCACTGTATGTATATATAACAAAATTAAAATTTTGAAATTTGGACTGCTATTTCACTTATCTGCCGGGAATCGAATCACGTAAACATACTTAACGCCTAACCTACTGAACTATCATCGGTTTAAAATTTACTCAGAGCATCGTTCTGCATTGTATAGATAGGCTATATATTTTGTTACCTAGAGTTTCGCGATAGTACGAATTTAGAAATTTGAATTCGTCCGTATGATAAACCTAAATATAATAATAATGTGTAGGTAATAAATTGTGTAAATTGCATTTCTCTTGCTTCTGCAGTACTCATAATGATTATTTTTATTTAGAAATCGCGGTTTCCAGCATTGTGTTGCAGCCCACTTGTCCTAGATGCGGAATCGGTTCAAAATATAATTTATTTTTACTCGGCCAATGAGGACATATAATAATGAATTTACGAATGAATAAACAAAAATTATAGTATAGCAATCAAAACATGCAATTTGGTTTATTTATCTTTCGCTAATATTTGTTGTTTTGCAAAACTGACGACATGTTATTGTATCATAATAATAGTTTAAAAACAACAATTTTTTAAACGCATCTCATTATTTATAAAATGTATATTTTCATTCACAAACCATATACACGTAAGCCCATTTTAAAACTCCTGGAGTCAATCAAACTCACCCTCCCTCTTCCCTCTATTAACTACGTTGGTCCAAAAAAAAAAACAAGATTTTAAAGGCCTGAAAAACTGCCACTTATTAACGTTGATTCGGACGTAAGTATAAAAATGATATGCTTTAAAATTGAATACGTTTTCACTGAAAACGCGCTCCGTATTGCAGACGTTTCTGTTTGGTTTTTTTGAATAAGAGGTACTTATAATTATAAGTATTAATACTTCAGAGGATAAGTGACGGTGTATATTTAAGTAAATTTGGATATCAAAGCAACACAAAACTGTAGGGATTTTATTTGACGGATTTTATTTTTGCAAACGAATTATGTTTCATTAGGTGCTTTACAAGAATGTGATAGACATACAAATTTAATTGTTTTACTTGAAATTGTAAAAATGTTGCATTCGATTTTCCAAAAAATGCCAAAAATGAACTTATAGTAAGTTTCGCTTTAAACTCGTGACAGAGTGAATTAACATTTAAAAAATAATTGCAGAGTGATTAAGTAAATAGTGTATAGAGAATCATAATACGTTTTCAAAATTGAAATCCGTCAAACAGAATTCTCATTACCTAGACTACTGTATAGCTTTTCGGTCTAAAACGGTCATAATATATTCACTTCAAAAATCGGAGGTGGCTATCATTTCCGTCAAAATGAAAACAATTGTTCCATTTTCGTTTCCGTCAAATCTTTTTCTACCTATTTAAATTATAGTTTGAGAAACCATTTAAAATTGCCATGAGGTGAGGTTCTCATTATTATTTGAATAACACAACTACAATTAATTTCTATCAACTCTACGTATCCACATTTAAATAAATTAAAATCAATTATTGATATATTAACGTTTTTTTATATAGCACCTTATATTTTTTTGCATACATAATAATTTACAACTGTTAATTTAAATATATACATTGTTTTGAAAATTCGAAATCAAAATCTTTAAAAATATTTTAAATTGTGGAAGAGACGTAAACAATTGTTTATTTAAATTCGAATTGTATAATAAACGATTATTTGTGGTTCTACATAAATTTGCAGTGAAATTAGATCACTTTGCGGGTGGAAAAATACTATTTTTGGAAATACCATTGTCAGTTAAATAATCAGCGTATTTAAAACACGATAAC